CACTGCGGGGACAGGGGACACGTCAGGACACGGGGACACTGCGGGGACAGGGAGACACTGCGGGGACAATGTGGCACGGGGACAGGGGACACGTCAGGACAGGGGACACAGGGACAGGGGGACATGGGAACAACAGGGCACAGGGACAACGGGACACTGCAGGGACAGCGGGACACGGGGACAGAGGGACATGGGGACAGCGGGGCACGGGGACAATAGGGCACGTCAGGACAGGGGGATATGGGGACAGGGGACACGTCAGGACAGCGGGACACGGGGACAGAGGGACACGGGGACAGAGGGACACGGGGACAGAGGGACACGGGGACAGAGGGACATGTCAGGACAGGGGGATATGGGGACAACGGGGCACGGGGACAACGGGACACTGCAGGGACAGCGGGACACGTCAGGACAGGGGGACACAGGGACAGAGGGACACGTCGGGACAGTGGGACATGGGGACAGCGGGACACGTCGGGACAGCGGGGCATGGGGACAGTGGGACACATCAGGACAGGGGGACATGGGGACAATGTGGCACGGGGACAGGGGGACATGTCAGGACAGGGGCACATGGGGACAATGGGGCAGGGGACAGCAGGACACGGGGGGACAGCGGGGGTACAGCAGGACATGGGGACAATGGGACACGGCAGGACAGCGCGACATGGGGACAACATGGCACGGCAGGACAGCAGGACACAGGGACAGCGGGACACGGAGGGACAACTGTGCCACCTTTGAGAAGCACCCCGGGCAAGGGCGGCTCTGCAGCCACCGCGGTGTGAGCACAGCACTGACACTGTGACACACCCACTGCTCCAGACAGAGGCACCGCTCTGCCAGGACCTAACAATGTCACATCTCGAGGATTTCCAGAGCTCTGTGCCACCAGAAATGACCCCACAGTGTCACACTCGAGCATTTCCAGAGCTCTGTGCCACCAGAAATGACCCCACAGTNAGCTCTGTGCCACCAGAAATGACCCCACAGTGTCACACTCGAGCATTTCCAGAGCTCTGTGCCACCAGAAATGACCCCACAGTGTCACACTCGAGGATTTCCAGAGCTCTGTGCCACCAGAAATGACCCCACAGTGTCACCCCTGGAGCATTTCCAGAGCTCTGTGCCACCAGAAATGACCCCACAGTGTCACACTCGAGGATTTCCAGAGCTCTGTGCCACCAGAAATGACCCCAAAGTGTCCCCTCAGCAGCTCAGCCCTGGATCAGCAGAACCAGAACTGATCCACACAGATAATCTGTACCTTGCAGGACAACTCTTACTTACACAAACATCACACTGGGGCCTGTCAGCTGCAGAGAAATAACTGCTATTCAATGTGAACATGCAGGGGGAAACAAAGGATTGAAATAAAAAAAAAAAATTAAAAAGCAAACAAGCACAAAAAATCCACCCCACCAAAAAAACCCATGACAACTGCCAAGGAAGGTTTGCCTGATACACAGGAAAAACCAGCAAACAACAAGATTTTACTGTCTTCAGTAACTGTATTTGGATATTTACAATCACATCAGTAAGTATTTGATCCACTCTTTGCTGAGTTAATTGATTTCAAACGCATTTGGAGCTATACCAAAGGATAAAACCAGGAGGAAAAATATCCCAGTAACTAAGGAAAAGAGCAGATTGTCCCCAAATGGTTGCCAGGCACCATTCTGTGACTCTCACTACCTTTTCTGCAGAAAAACACCAAAATGGACCCCATCACTCACTTTTCCTGCTGCTCTGCCACTGCCAGTCTATCTGCATCGGGATCAGTGGCCACCACCACCTTGGCATTTTCTTTCTCTGCAAGTCTCAGTGACAACTCCTGGTGGGAGAAAAAGGAGGAACCAAAAACAAAAACAAACAAAAACCAAAATGTAAGAGTAAATAAACACAGCAAATAAATGCACAGCCTTTCTATAAACATCTAACACCCCCCAGTAGCTGCCCACTGCATTAATTCAGCTGAAAGCAGCTTCTCCCTGTTCTCTCCCTCCATTTGTTTTTCCCCACAGAAATCTGATGAAGCAGAAACAAAAATACCAGCACACATTCTCCTTCCTCAGGATTGGGGCATTTGACAGTGGAGAAGTCTGGGTCTGGGTCTTTCTGCTCCGGGACTGGGATGGGGGGTTGGAATCCAAAGGCTTTGAAAGCCAACTGCACATAATCGTGCCCAACTCCATGGAAAGAGGTGTGGACAAACTTCAGATTGCTCTGCACATTCAGCTCCCTGAGGAGGAAACAGAACTTCAGTAAGAGCTCAGTTATTTAACAATATTTGCACCAGAGAAAGCAAAATAAACTGCAAAACAAACTGTGCCATTCTGCTGATTTCTGCCTTCATTTCAAAGGAACCAGTGAAAGTGCTCATTTGGACTTTCCCTGCAAATTGCTGGGTCAAAGCTGCTTTTCCTGGAAAATGCAATATTTACCTTTGGCTGTAACAGATCAAAGTCTCCCAAGAATAAACTGTTGATGTCTACATCAAACTCGAGCTCTTCCACTTAAGGATGTTATTCTGTTTCTGCTCTGCAGCCTTCATCCTCCTCCTTTTATGCTCCTCTTCTGCCCCACCTAACCTTTAAAATCAATCTTCTCAACTCTATTTTATGCACTTCATTTTACTCTGAATTTCTGCATTTTATTCAGACCTCTTTGACCATATTTATTTACATTAAATGGTTTCCACTGGGGAGCTTCACTGTAGCTGAATTCCCAAAGGCAGCTGCTTTTTCTCAAGCAAATGGTTTCATCCTAARGATGGTGACCCTTGAATTTAATGACACATCAGAGAACACAGTGAAGCCTCTCTGCAGTCAGTTTTACCACATTCACAGAGTTTAATTTATAACATAACTTTTTCTTTATACAATACCTGTGAAAACAGATCTTTGTCAGATCCTCCATGTAGCTGTCACAGATTTTCTTCAGAGGATCCTGTCTGAGGGGACTGGTGTCYACCAGATTTTCATTCCAAGAGCCATTCCACGGTTCAACACACTCTTCTATACATTTTATAATCTCCTTATCATGAGGAGAGGTGATCTGAGCTCCGTTTTCCCAATAAACCTGGTGGAAGTTGAAGGAGAACAAGACACATTTTATTGACAAATATGAGTAACTTGATAAATTCTTTCAGCTATAAATTTCCACCTACTTTCTGCTTGAGTCACACAGAGGAGTCAGCATCTGCCTGGTGTGATTCTCAAGTAATTTGGAATCATTTAACATGAACCTCTGGGTTTGTGATTGCACTTGTGTGATAAATGGAGCTTATAGAGCAACACAACCTGTTTGCACAAAAGCTGGAATTTAACTRCTAGAACAGAAATATCAGGATGGGAGAAACCAAAACTGGGCACTGGGAGTGYTGTGCAAACTATAACAGCAGAAAAATCACCCTCTGCAAGGCTGCCATTCCTCAGGAAAAAGAAGCACGGCTTGTTTTTGAACCCAAAGTGAAAGAGATAAGCATTGTGCCAAGGTCTGTGCTTTTCCACAGCCAACAACTGTAATCTCTCAGCTGGAAACTCTACCTCGAGTGGAAACACCGTATCAAACCCTCCACTATAAGAAAGCCTTTGTTCAGAACCATTTCGAGCCCATTTTTCCCACAGGCTGCTGCCAACAGCAGGGCTGAGCTCACACTGCAGAGTTTCTGCTCAGATCATCTGCCTCTGTTTGCTCCTCACTCTCCTCTGGGTTTGGCACCTTCAGTCAAAAYTGTCCAAAACCTTCCCAAGCTGCTGAAAATCACACGGGAAATGGGGAAAGATGGAAGAGCTCTTGGGAAAGACAGGAGACAAAAGTGATATCCTGCCAAACTCAACTGCTGTGTGTCACAAACACCAAACTGCTCCTGGRCAAGAGAAGCACCTGGAACTCTGCTGGGGCTTCTTTCCTTCCTCACTAAGCAGGAACCAGGGCTGGTAAAGAACTTTACAATTTGTCACAGAGAATACAATCAGCCCAAGATTTCTCTCTCAGCACAGCAGGACTGGCTTTCCTCACATTCCATCACTCACTGAGCTGCCACAGAGCTCCTACAATGCTGAGATTTCAGTTCAGGTTCTTACAAAGTTGAGGAAGGAAATACTCAGTTAAAGCATTGCATTTGCTCTTGTGGATGGTTTTACTGTCCCTAGCTTTCAAAGGAAAGCCACCCACTCCTCTCCAATGCCAAAAAAAAACCAGGGAACAGTACACTGATTTTTATTAATCCACTGAGTTTTATCAACCCACTCTTAAAYTGTTCCCATCTTCAGTGTGCACTAATTCACCTCAGTTCTGGCTTAGTTTTAAACTACTTTTTAAGCCTAAGAAGTGAACACACAAATTGCTGGAGCATTTCTTCATCAGCTGATTAGACTCCATGGAATGTCACAACAGATTTATGCTCAAGACACACAAACTGTTCTCATGACAGAGGAGTGTGTCAGGTCAGAGAAGAACCAATTTTTTAAAATAACTCATCCTCATCCTTCTAATGGACACACTCAGAAAAATCCAGGGTGGCAGCTGTGGTGCCCCTGGATCCAGAATGGACATTGGGAATTGGGGCACCCTGGGACAGTGGGAGATGTCCCTGCCATGGCAGGGCTGGCAGTGGCTGAGTTTTAAGCTCTTTTCCACCCCAAATCACCCCATGGTCCCACTCTAGGCTGAGTGCAGGCAGGGAGAGCACTGGAAATGCTGCATCCCAGAGGTTTTACCTTGTAGCCATTGTCCTCCTTGCGGTTGTGGGACGCTGTGATCATGACCCCAGCCACAGCCCCGAGCTGCTGCACGGCGTAGGGCTGCAAAGGAACCCCCAGAGAGGATTATTGAGGGTTCTGCACAAAGCAGGGCACTGTCAGCACATCACATCCTACACGAGGGGCTCAACTCTGCACCAGAGTTTATCTGGAAACTGCAGACA